CTTTGTTGATGGGTTTTGGTTTTTGTCTTCCAGGTCCTGTTCCCCGGTCTCGTCTCGTCTGTCGCCTCCTCTCTTGTGCGCGCCTTTGGGGGGGGGTTATGTCACGCCCCGCTCCGTCCGCTCCTAATGTGTGCCACGCCTACCTCATTACCTCCTGTTTCTCCCTGATTGTTCTCACCTGTGGCTCGTTACCCGTAGCTTGTCTGTTGTATTTAGTCCTCGTCTGAGTCAGTCTTCCCCAGACTTGTCATTAATGTTACTCGTCGTTCTTCACGGTCCTGTTGATTCTCCCTTAATAAACCCCGTTTGCCCTACTTCCTGGCTCCGTATCCCTGCTTCCCGGATCACCTTCTGCCCGACCGTGACATTCAAATATAACAATATATTTTTTTCTTAAAAACAGAAGTTAACAAAAAGCTACATTTACTGCTTTTGTGGCATAAACTACACCGAGCTTTTATAGGAAGTGCGACAAACCAAACAAGAACAAAATCAAAGACAGAGAAACATCAAACCAGGAACAAACTGAAATAAAATTGCAAAACAGTTCAGGCTGGCCTCAACCCCTCAACTGAAGAGCTGCCAGCCTCCACGCTGTGCATTAAGCCACACAGCAGCCCAGGGAGACAAAATACGAGGGGAATGGGGTGGCCAGTGGGAGCTGCTGACCATACTAGGGAAAAGGCACTTGGGGGCAGGGCTAGAAGAGCTGACCCTGCCATCAGTTTATACAGGGGATTTTTACCGCATTGCATTGTATCAAAGTGCTTATTGTCTTATTGTAGTTCCGCTGCTGCATCTCGTGGCTCATTTTTGGAGGTGTAACATAATCTTTGATGAGTCTATATTTGTCATTAAGAGAAACCCGTCATGGTTTCTGTGCATGCAGCATTAGCCTCAGATAGCTAGCAGTTTTAATTCTTTCCATATGTTGTCATGTTTAAAAGGCCCTAAATGAACACTGTAAGCAGACTACTTGATTACTATATTACATGTGTTAAACGTGGCAGAATATTGGAGAAACTGACCTTGAACTTGCGTAATATTTATTATTATTATTATTATTATTATTATTATTATTCGACCCGTTATAACTGGCAATTATTCTGATTTCCAAAAAGTGACTACTAAATTAAATTGCTGCGTGCAGACAGGCCATGTGTAATATATATGCTATGTGAGACAGTGTTCACGACGGCCCAAATGACACTCGCGTGTAACGATAAGAAACACAACTTGCTCACGGCGCCGGTGAATGAGTAACAATAATGCTGTCTTTGTATATGCCTTAACAGCTTCGTAGTAATGAGAAGTTGTTAAGCTAATATAATTAACAAAACAAATATGATTAATTATTGTAATCATGTACAGTTCTATATAAAGAGTATGTCCAGCAAAATAAATTATTTCAAAGAGATACCTTTACAATTTAGCACAGGCAAATATAAACTCTACTCAGTTGAAGGGGTTCTGAAAATGAAAGCTGTGTCTCTTTAAGAAACATGGCGTCTTGTAGTCGTTCGCATGTGATTTCTCTTTATAGGATGCTTATGAAGGAGAGCAAGAAGTTTCCCTCGTATAATTTTAGGTAACTAATTCTCTCATTTTATGGTCGCCTTGCAGATTTCTGACGGCAGTTTCCGCGGTTGACACGCTAGCTAGCTTGTTAGCTACATGCACTTTATAGTGTTGGTCCACAGCATTGGGCTCCCGTCATGTTTTGGTTTTACTCCTGCACGTATAGAATGGAATTACATGTAAATCTTTTTTTGTCCTCTAATTTAATTAAACAAACTATATGGCATGCTAAAATCGTGATTAAACTGATTGTTATAAATAACCTTCATTCTACTTTGTCAGTAATGAATCATAATGTTAAGGTAAGTGCAGTATGTGTTTAATACTATTTTAGAATAATGGACACTTTATTTGTGAGTTCGGCTCCAGTTGAATTTGGATGATTGATTACTTAAACTGGTTACTCAAACTGGTGAGGCAGTGATTAGAGAGCTGACCGGGTTGGAAACTAATCTTATCAAATGCGATATAAATTGCGCTTTCATGAGCTTAGTATATAGTTACTGTAATTGTTTAAATACGGATTTACGTTTGACTTGCCGATACAGTTGAAATGGTAATAAATAACGGGATTTATTGGGGAATTTTTTCAGGGGATTTCTTCATGTCTCATATGCTTGATTCTACTCTCCTGCCAACCTAAAGGTTATTCAATAGTCACTTGTTAGTCAGTTGTTCATAGGCAATCATATATGCTTCCTTAAATTCGTTAAATTATAATCATTTTATGTTTGAATCGCTGAGTCAGCTGACACTTTGAATTACTGGCTACACATTCAGATGATACCGGTTGGGGAGGGTGGTTCAAGTTCATGGCCAGGGCCTTCAGGAAGGTAGTGGCGGGGGTGACACTTTTTTTTTTTCTTTTTTTTTGTGCGCATGCTCCCTGAATAGAGCGAAATGCCTTTTATTGCTTCTACCTCTCATGCTGCTATGTTATGCTAGAAGGGCAAGTTCTAGCAATTCAGAATTTAAGCTATAAAATGGACATCGCTCTCAACAATCAGGGTACTAAGAATCCAAACCCAACCTGTACAGGTTATGTGAAGAAGCTGCCCTCGCTTATTCACAGATGGGTCCAGAGTTACCTGCAATAACCCTGCCACTCAGACATTGTCCACGGAACATAATTTCCGGGCAACCCTTCATCTACACCTTCTTGTCTTATTTTCTCTTTACATTTTTTTTTGGCAGTTGGAGTATGAGTTTGTTGGTTTGATCACGGTGGAAGGCCGGGCATCAGCTGAGCACAAGCTCAGACATCTTCACAAGTCCAGATCTGAGAGTGATGAGAAGGTTCTTCTCCGTGTCTCTCAACAAACGTGCGCGCACACACATGCACGCTGTCCATGGTTGGCTAAAATGTCCTCAGATGAAATATTCATCAAGGCATATCTTTTCCCTTTGCATGTGACACTCCATGTGACATTCCGAGTGAAATTCCATGTGAAATAACAAACTAGTTGGCTTCTAGACCAAGGTTATGAGGTACTGATGTTCAGGCAAGGCCAAATTTAAAATCTCTTGTCTTGTACTTTGTATATATATTCAAATTAATAAACTACAATAAATAACACAAATGCATAAAGGCCCTGTTAGAAGTACAAGCTAAATTGAAAATATACAAAATCGTTTTTCAGTTATTACACATAGATGTGCTGCGAAATTGTATACCTTCTAGCAATGAACTGATAGATGCTCAGTGCTGAATGGGTGTCTGACCAGACTGTAGCATGTAGTAGGGGGTTGAACGGAGCACACATGGCCTTCCATGTACCGTATTGGCCCGAATATAAGACGACCTGAATATAAGACGACCCCCCCCCCCAATTTCCAAGTTCATTTTTGGGAAAAAGTTTTTTGAAGACCAGATTTTGTCTTGTATAGAAAACTTGTTTATTTGATAACGCTGTTTACAATTTGTTGGAACAAAAAAAAACATTTCATAAAGTTCAATATGTCAATGCATAACTATCTATAACGTATGGAATAATTTTACAGAAAAGTGAAAAATTATAAAATTCACCCAGCCTGAAACTGAAAGAATACACAGAAAGTGTGATGAGCCTGGTGCATGAGTCTGTGGCCCAATCCCAAACCGGTCCCTACACACTCCGCCTCACCACTCCGCCTTCGTTTGCGCGTTCCCGAGACCCGTCGCCATGTTGAAGTGTGTCTCAAAGCAGCAAGGGCTAAGGGGGAGTGGTCGATTATGCCCTCCTTTAGCGAGTCGGCAACGATGGTGGCTCGCGCGATTTCACATTTTCACTACCACTTCCATATCCCATAATTCCTAGCGCACAGGAAACAGAACAGCGCGATAATTTAATAATTGGATTCTAACAGCACAGTGAAATACACATAGAAAGTCTATGTTACATGTTATAATTCATCGCTGCAGAAAAAAAATTAGGAAAGCAGTTATTTATAACTGGTCAGTACAGGTAGATTTTATCGTGATCCGATTACGAGAGATTTTGTGTACTTTTCAAACTAGAAACCACGCGAAGAAACATTTGTACGCAAACTCGATCAACATCACACCAGCAATAACAATTTATGTTTCATATTTGCCTGTTTTTTCCTCTACATATCTGGATCTGGTATTTGGTACAGAAGTAATGTTCTATGCGTGTAAACTAAGTTAGCTATGGTAGAAATTGTACAATCGTCAATATGACACATGTACATACTTAAAATTGCTCAGTGCAATAAGACGACGTAGCCGTCGTCTTCTCGCATTAGATAAACTGTGCTTTTTTAAAATAACTGATATGTCATTAAAGAAAATACAATACAGCTTCTTGATGGATCCATTTCGTCAAATCACTACGTAATGCATTTGCTCTTTCCGGTAATGAAGACTGTAAAAAGGCGCTGCGAGGGCAAGTCTGTCTCAAATCTTTCTTGTGACAATTTCCTTCAGTTTAAGTGTATAGGGCGTGTTGTGAGGGTGACTCGGCGGGAGTGTGACTCGAAATGAAGGCGGAGTGTCGAGGGTATAGTTTGGGATTGGGCCTGTGTTAGCGCAGTGCTATTAAATAAGACACTTCACTCTTTATTTCCTGAAAACTCTGTTGCCTGGTGACATGAATAGCATTCTAAAAAATAAATATAGCTCGTGAGAACAAGCATTATTTAAGTGTTGTGGCATTGTTGTGAGGGACGGTGGCCGATTCATTTAGGCTAAGTCAAAACACAAATAAGACGGCCGTGAATATAAGACGACCCCCCCCCCTTTTTAAGAGGTATTTTTAGAACAAAAACTGCGTCTTATATTCGGGCCAATACGGTAATATTAGGGGTAACAGTCTTATTGGATTAAGCCTCTCAATGTGAGCAAAATGGGTGACCAATTAATAAAAGCCTGACTGCTTCTTTATAAATTTAATAGCAGTTGGTAAGTCATTCTGATGTAGGGAAGCAGATTCCAGGTGTGTGACACTCCTGACCTCCGCTGGCTGGTTTCAGACGCTCTGATTGGTGGTTTCAGACCGTCGTGTACCTGTGCCGCGGTTTTCTGGTATGAGCTGGCTGAGGGTTGTCTTTCATGGCACAGTGCCGTTCCGGTCGCTGCTGCTCTGCTGCCTGCCTGTTAGTCCCACAGAGTCGCCGGCTCAGATGAAAGAGCAGCCAGCAACTGGCTGTGCCAGTGGTGGTAACGAGAGGGGGTCCTTTTGCACCCTGTGGGTTTAAAGAGCATCAATTATCCATGGAGTCTCTTTGGAAGACGCTGGGCTGCAAATGTCACCGCCCTTAGGGGCCGTGAGTCACAGGGGCCAGGAACTCAGCAGCGCCACCTGCTGGGCCCTACGTCACAGACTCCAGCTCACAGCCATTATGACTTTAAATGGATGCTGGCGCTGTGAGCATCACTTCAAAGCCTGTGCCGGCCTGTGGGGGGCGCTCTGGACATCTGTGCTTCTAACGCCTCTCTCGCTGTGTGACGCAGGGCCAAAAATGAATGTGGGTGGTGGGGAAAGTGTGATCTAGGCACTGGGGGCGGCGATGTGCCAGTGCTCACTCAGACCGCGCTGTGTACTGACAGGGGTGTGTGGCGATGGCCAACCCCTTGCCCAGTTGTTATGTGCCTTGCAGTGAGCTGGAGGCAAGAGAGCGTGTGTCCGTAAGGCTACTTTCAGAAGCCACCCCCACCAAATCAAACCGTTCAGATTTATGCGTTTAAAACCCCTTTTGTTCTCCATCTGTTCCCCCGGCTGAGCTGCTTCCATTCGACCAATCCGATCCGAACGGTGCGTAAATCTCCCGAATTCGGCCATCTGTTTGGCGCATCAGGAGCATTCTGCCATCCCGCCTTGTCCGCCGCGGAGGGAAGGGGCTCCTCTTTTCTTCTTTTTCATTGCTCTCCCTTTCAGGACATACGCACTGCGCAGAGTGAAGCATGGCTTCAGGGAGAACCAGCATGTGGATAACCCTAGGACCCTGGACATGCTCCTGGGCCAGGCCCGAGAGAGCCTGGCGCTCATCAAGCGGCAGGTACGCTGCCCCCCCCCCCCCCTTCCGGCCGCATCCCAGCTCCCTTCTCCCTTGCTGGGCATGGAAACAGCTGGCCATTCTGAGTATAGGCCCGGCTCATGGGCCATCAGAGGTGATACTGCTCTTGGATCATTGTTTCTAGGCGCAACACATCAGGTGCAGGACAGCAACGGTTATGGTGTGTGGCTTGGTGGGTTAGGCAGTGTGCCTGTGTTTGGAAGGGTGTCGGTTCACGTCCTGGACCTTTCAAAATAGTCACATGTCTGTTGGGCCCTTCACCAAGGCCCTTAATTTGGGTTAATGCCCATTTCTCCAACCCCAGGCTTCACTCTCAACTGTTTGTTTGTTTGTTTTTATGTCTTGATAGAGAGCACGATAGACTTTGTGAAAGCTGAAGAATTCCAATTCACCTGAACGAATGATAAATAAATGATACTTGAAATGCTGCTTTAACACATGCTTATACATTCTCTTCTGAGCCAAAAAACCTTTATTACGAGCCAGCTAGTTTATTACGGCCTCAAAAAATTCTGCTTTGTTTTCCATGCCTCTCCAGATTTACATGTTAAATGAGATTTTGTAGTGGTGTCAGTGCGTATCCCTGTTCTGGTGTCTGCTGGCTCAAAGTCCCGTGTCTGACAGGCGCAACACCGCATATTTCCTTCTGGGCTGAACATGAAACCGAATTCCCAGAGCAGTGAAGCTCGTAAAATCTGTGGAGAGAAAGCTCCCCTGTTTGAATGGATCGTGTGCCCCCAGGGTTAAAGCTAAGTGTGACGTATGTGAGTTGGGCTGCTGTGTAGGCCGGCCTCTGGTCTGAGATTTTGGGGGGATTTTGGGGTCCACTGAACTCACAGCTTGTTGCCCCCTCTCGGACAGTTAGTCACATTTAAAGCTGTGTGTCAGGATGTCCGTTTACATATAACCTGACAGATTTCTGCAGGTAACCTGGGGAACAAGCGCAGCTACTTAATTCAACCATGCCACATGTCATTCATCTGACAGTCAGCGCAGGGGTATTTTTAGAAGCCCCCAGGATTATCCCCCCCCACAGTGTACAGACGAACATCTGTCAGCCTGTAGTGGACTAATCTCTGTATTGATCGGGTGGGGGGGCACTGCTGGGAACCCATCTTAATGATGAAGGCACTGGGGAAATGGCCCCCAGTGAAGCCTCGGACCCCCCAAGGCGCCGCCAGATGCCATGCCCCCCCCCCGGTCTGGTTTAGATCTCTAGGTATACTTTAGGGCTGTTGCTCTGGGGGCAGATGTGGTGGTACTCTGCACTGTACTGTGTATATGGCTGTCTTTGTGATCCAGCCGAGGGTATCATGGCAAGGGACCGTGTGTGTTTGTGTTTGTGTGTGTGTGGGGGTGGGGGTGGGGGGAGGGTGGTCCTGGGGCTCTGAGTACCCCCCCCCCCGAGATCTGCCGGTGCATACAGGTGGGCCACAGGCAGGGTGGCCAGCGTGAGTCACTCCCTCCCACCTGTCCTGTTGGAGTTCATCCCGCTCCCGGGTTGGAGGGCCCACTCTGTGAAGACGCTGTGGCGGGGACTCCCACAGGCCTCTCTGTCTGGCTCCTGGGACTCCGGCAGCATTGGCGCTCCCGGTTACTGTCAGTGACCCTGTGTGCTGTCCTCCGTCTTCACCAGCCCCTTCCCCCTAATTATAACTGAACACACCCAGACTCAATCTCCCCCAGACCCCCTTACATGTAATCACTGGACACCTCCTGTTTTATTTAGTTCCTTCCATTATTCAGTTTTGCCTTTTTTTAAAAAAACTGTTTAATATGTGAGGTGAGAATAGTCCCCACCCCCAGCCACAGGCCTTGAGCAGAACAGGGGAACGTGGCTCTTTATATTCGAGGGGGTACTGGGTTGCATTCCTTCTTTAAATCTGCTAGTCTCCCTCCTCGCTGCTGACTGGATGCGTGATCCTCGCGCGCTGCTGCTCGCCACAGTGTTAGGCGTGACAGAAGCCTCCCGCCTCTGAGGCGCGTGAACCTCCCCCATTGGGGACACCGTGTCCACATTAGCCCCGCCGGCAGCCCGGCACGCAAGTGACACTGTGACAGACCCCGTTTGGCATCGACGCCGGAGGAGTCAGGCAGGCGGTGCGGGGATTACGGCTAATCCTGCTTGGTGGAGGCAGCCGTGAATCCCCCCTCTTCCAACGCCTCTTTGATCCTGTAACTGAGACACGACTGTGCTGTGACGCTGCCCCCTGCTAGTCGCGAGAGGAATGTATAGGCAGATGTGGTGCAGGTTACAGCATGGAAAAGATAATAAAATATATGTTTCATGTGCTGTGTACTTGTACAGTGTAAGGTTACATGTTTTATATGTGATTTTTATTTGGAGACTGGTCATATAGAGGCTCGGTGGGGTCACTGGATGGGTGTAACTTGGGGATGGGGCTGTGTGCCTGGCAGCGCAGTATCACAGATAAGTGGGGGTGAGGGGGGTTGGCCACAGGGTGGTTGTGCATACAAATCCATTAACTACAGTACTTTATATTCAAACCCTTTGTATGTGGAGATATAATTAGTTGCATCCTCCAAACCATCAAGTTTTCCTGGACATGTCTGTGGTTGGGGGGATAGATCGCTTGCCTGATCTGCGGACTTAGTTTTTCTCCTCTCATTTGGAATGGTCTGGTGACCGATGCTCCGCCCCTTTCTGTGCTCCCCCTGTGTGACAGGAAGCTCAGAGTCACGCCTCGCGCCGTTTCCCGTGGTGCCGTGGGAGGCGCATGCTCTGTATCCCGCCAGGGTGAGCACGCCTTGCGTCTGCAGGGTCATCTGTCAGACGTGACATTGCCTGGACCTGTTTTCAGACACTAGCTCCCCCATCAGGGTCTGTTCCCTTCTGCTTTCTCACATTCCTGCTGTGATCCATCCAGCAAAATCCCATCTACACATTTGCTGAAACTTTCACTCTGTCTGGGTAGAGGGGGGGGATGCTGTGTCTATATTTGTAAGCGGTGTTGACAGGCTGCATGGTGCCCCTTCCCCCCCCACCATCTGCAGAATGCTCTTGTCGTTCCCTGTATGCATCTGAGTCTGCAAACTGCCATCTATGAACGTCCCACATGCATGTGGCTTATTGGACAGGTACGCCCTGGTGATCTCCAAGGATACATCCTAGGAGGAAAGTTACTTGATAATGAGCTCCTCTGCACATTGAGGTACGCTTTCTGAAGTGGGAGAATCGCTTCTCTGAACCTATGACGTTGCTCTTCATTTGCCTGTCTGCTCAACTTCCAGCACACTGAAAATGGGAAAAGATTTCAGTTAATCATGGTTCCTTTTTCCCAGAATGCACTGGCATTGTTATCTGTTTTACCGCAAACATCCCTGCAGGTACGGGAGCCTTACGCACCATATTGCTGGGTTTGTTTATATTGCTGAGTGATTTTTATTTTGCCAGTAACTGGATTCCCCTTTGGTTCCAAACCATAAAACCAGCCTGTTGTATAGTCCTTTTCCCTAAAGGTCCTCTCTTGCCCCATCCCTGAAAGGCACGTCCTGTTTGGCTGTCTGGCTTCCAGAGCACACACTGGCATAGCCTCAGTGGCCTTCAGCTGAGCACTCAACCAGTTTTTCACTGTATCTACACTCTGAACGCTGGCACCCTCTATGGTGAGGCGTGTTTAACAGCGTGTCGTCTTGTCGTTTCTGAGTGCTTTTGCTGGAGGTTTGCAAAACGCGTTGATGCACAGCTCATATGTCAACACGTTTCATGTGTGTGCTGTTCCTGCAAGAGTTCTAACGTGATGCCCCAGCTTTACCCCACTACCCCCCCCAAGGCACCCACAAAACTCTAAACTGATCCTGACTTTATGTGTTGTGTTGGTCGTGAATGTAATGTGGTGAGTGGTGGTGGTCTCTACAGACCAGGAGGTGTAAATCACATGCCAGGTGGTCTGGTGTAGCACACCTCCCATCCGCGGGGCCCTGTTAACGCTAAACGCTAGCGTGGAAAGATCAGAGGAGCCATGTGTGTGGTGGCTTGGTGTCATTTGTACAGGGGAGTCATGCAGGAGGATCCCACAGGCTCTTTGGGACTGATTAAAATCTTAATGGCTGGACCCCAGGCAGCCCACCCACTCATCTGTGCCAGCAAAGCTGGGCGTGGCCAAGGACTGCTGTTAGCGATGTGCAGTATGGTCCTGACCACCAGAGGGCACCACCAGTGTGTGTATGGAACTGGGCGACTTGGAATCTGGTGTGCCTTGGTTTCCTTTGCCATTATGGCTGTTTGAGGTGCGTGTAAGTGGCACCTTGTGCCCGACGCAGGTGTGTCTGTGTCTTCCTGGGTGCTTCGGGCATGGTGACTTCAGGCTGACCTGCAGCTGTCCAGCGCAGCATTGGTTTGTAGGAATAGAGGGTGACGTCTCTGTCACCTTGGTGGTGACTGGCTTACCTGGCTCCCCCACTTGTCTCTTTCTGTCGATCCCACAGGCGAGGGAACCCCCGGATGAGCCTGTGGCGTGAGTCATCGTTGCACCGTGCGGGTGGGTGGGGCAGGGGAGACACCGGCTCCCGAAATGGCCCCCACCTGCCCGCCTGCCTGCGGCATTCTGGTAAAAGCTTACTCACGCCCCCCTCTCCCCATATGACATCACTGTTGGGTTTGCCGCTGTGCTCCGTGCTCTGTGTGCCTGAGGAGCAGCTGTATGAAGCTGCCGAGGCCCTGTGGCACGCTGAAGCCCCCACCCAGATCAGCGCAGTTGGTCTCCCTCCAGCCTGCCAGTGTACTTACATGTACGTTGAATGGGGCCCCCTGCTGACCTATGGGAAGCAGCCTTTTTGTGATGCAGAGGATGGGGTTCACTGGAAGCAGTGAGGAAGTTTAGGATGTTGTGCTGTGTGTGTCCTGCAGGTGGTGCTCTGCATGTCTTTTTTTTTTTTTTTGTCCCTCCCCCCTCCGTGTGACATTACAAAGTGCTGCTGGGTGTTTTATTCCTGTTGGACCTACCAGTTTATCTGACTGCAGATGAACAAGAGAGACGGTCCCGCATTTGCGTTCTGGCCTCACCGCATGCACGTGCGGGGGTGTGGAGGAGGACTCCACTCCTGACGTTCGTGCCCCCCCTTGCTGCGAGAACGAGCTGCACGCCAGCACATTTAACTTATGTGCCCTTTGCACAAATGGCCCTTTTGGTGTGCATGAGCTGCCGTTGCCCCCTAGTGGAAATGCTGAAAAACGCAGCCGTTTCGCCGCACGGCCATCGCTCGCATCCGCAGTGTGCTCCGGAATCCACCCCACTCCGAGTCAGGTCAGATGCCCGTCTGCGTTCGCCCACATTTCTTGCTCAGCTCCCCCAGCCCAAGAGGGACGGCAGATTCTTACAGTGCTGGCAGGGAGAGTCTCAGTCAGCAGTCAGAGAAAATGGCACCTACCCCCCCCAAACACACACACATGGGCGTGTGGTGCAGGCCTGCTCTGAGCCGGGAGCCCTGATTGGCTGCTGGCTCCCCTCCCACTCTGCGTCAGTCTGACACATTCTTTTCTTCTTCTCTCTGCTGGACAGGGGGACCTCACTGCCCCCTCCACCCCCATGTCCCAGTTCTCCCCCTAGAAGGAAGTGCACCAAACCTTTTGCTTTTGAGCCGTCACTTTAGACTCCTTTCACATATTCTAGTTCTGTTCCTGGGTGCCGGGGGTATTTTAGGCTGAGTGAGGGTGACTGCTCTGCAGCCTGGTGCCGCTTAGGAGGTCCAATCCCCACCCCCACCCCCCCCGACAGGGAGATTACTCTGCGTCGGCCGTAGTGAGAGGCATGCAGAGAATCTGAATGTCTGACTGACGCTAATCTGTAGCCGAGATGACCTCTGTGTGGAAAACCTGACTAAGATTGATGTGCAAATCCCACTGCGTCACAGCGCCCCCCACCCCCAGAAGTGGACTTGTGTACTTTCAACCCCACCTGGAGGAGTATATGGGTACTGCATGCATTTTGCAAAATCCCATGCCTGTGGGTTGTGTATTAAGCTGACATTTCTAGACGTGTGTGAAATGTCACCATGAGGTGAGAGGCCAGGTTGCAGTGGTGATGGGAGTGGCAGCCCTGAAGCCCTGCCAGAGAGAACAAGACCAGGTCTGTCCGTGGACGTGGACGCCTCACCACGAGGCCTGCGGGGCCTGAATCGCTGCTCTTCTGCAACAGACTGGCGCCCCCATTTGGCTGTCTTCCGCATGGATCCAGCCTCACTCTGGTAGTGTGCTGTAAATTCTTAGCCTGTGAATGTTGCCTTTTGGGGTTTGAATTATACCCTGCGATGTAGTATGTACTATGGCAGTAGATGCACTGGGGTTGTTCATCGGCTGTTGTGTGGTGGACAATGGTCTTTGGATGGCTCAACCACAAGGGGGTGTCTGTCTGAATTGCAGTCTGATCGTGACGGTCTCCTTGGTGTGCTGCCCTTCCAGCTCCTGCTGCTCATGCCAGCAGAAAGGTGGTGGTGGGGGAGGGGGAACTGGGGGACATTGGTCGCTCTTGGCTGGCTGTGGGGGGGATGCAAGGGCGCTTTGGACAGGTGGCTGCTGGCTTCAAAGCAGCCGCCAGTGGTCCCTGTCACCCTTATCAATTTGGCCACTCAGGAGGCGGGGAGGGGGCTGGTGGTGGTGCTCCAAAGATCTACTGTTCAGAGTCTCTGCAGTATCATCTCTCCAATCACAAGGGTGGTTCTTCTGCTGAGGGATGAGGAATCTTGTTTTAACTCAAGGACATTTATTTTTTATTTTTTTTTAATTCTACAGTTTACTCAGGGGCGAGCAGTTCTGTCCGCCCCTATAAAAAGCAGCATGATGGCATTGTTGTCGTGTCAGTAATCGGGCGTCGCAGGAGGACCCGCCCAGGGAGATTCAGGTCTGTCTCATTCCCTGAGCCTCAGCCAAATGTGTCAGCTTCCCTGTGTGTGCATGTCTGCTTTAAGGCATGAGCAAGTTCACAAAAATTGTAGTTATGAATCCTATGTACATAACTCTAAGGAGTCTTTTTGTGTGTGTGGGAGTGTGGGAGAGCGCGTTTGCCCGTTTCACCTCTCAGCCCCATCGTGGCCCCCATTTCCCTGGCTGCGTCAGGACGTCCACAGGGACCCTGCCAGGGGGCATTGGTCAGCACCAGCGGCGACTGCTGTGTAAATTTATAGAGCATCCACCCTGGGACGGGCCTTAATGTCTGCCTCTGCTGACTCAGCGTGCGTTTGGTTTTATGTATCCCTCTGGTGTTATCGTTGTGCTTCCCGCTCATAAATGCCTCTTCGTTAGATTTCAGAGTCGCGCTCCTTCGTTATGCGCACGGTGCAGTCCTGTAATGGTTCTGTAGGATGTCCTCTGGTCAGCTAGGAGCTGGTTGTGACCGCTGGCTTTGAAACAATGCTGTGAAGGCTTAGGGGGTTGGGGGCGGTCTTGGGATGGTTACGCCGAGAGCGATGAGGGACTGGCTCCGTGTCGAACACCTGCTAGGGAAGAGGCGTGGATTTGTGGTGCTCTGACAGCTGGGAGGTGTCCCGGACCCTGGGGGTGGCCACATGGACCCATGCTGTTCTGGACCATGGACACACTGCCAGTTGCCTTCCAGGGAGACAAACGGAAATGAACGGAAAGTCCTGTCTCCACGGGAACAGGGCAGCAGCATCACCTCTCTCCAGCAGGTGTTCAACGTGGAGCCAGAGCCTGTCACTCATTGCAGCCTTCATAGCAAGGTGGGGTCCCAGACAGCAGTGACTGAGACCTTTCCTCAGTTACTGATAATTTACTCAGTAAACGCCCCCCCCCCCCCCACTGTTTCAAGGACGCAGATGGTCTTATAGCCTTTAACATGATTATCTATAATCTTCTGAGCTCCTCCGACAGCTCTTTCCTTTGCTTTCTGTGGTCCATGTTCAGTGTGGTGCACACAATGACACCAAACAACACATTAGTGTGTTCTTTCCCTTTAAATATGCTGAATGGCTGATGAAAGGCTGTGATAAATTAAGGTTCAACAATTATTTGAAACATGACTATAATGCAAGGATAAGTTGTCTCTTTAGGGGTACCAAAATCTGTATTTTATATGTATTTAGCATATCTTTGTAAAATAAACAATAAATCATTTCTATCCACAATTTTATTGTTTACTCTGTCACATGCTAAAGGCATGTGTTACGCAATTGCTTTTAATTGAATCATTTTGCAGGAGAAATTAAGCATTGTTGAATGAGTTGTAAGGGTACCCAACAAATTTGTCCACGTCTGTATATCCATGCAGGAAAACCACTTTGCTTCATTTAATGACACAACAGCTGAGCAAGGTGAACAATTTAACAAATTAGAAGATGGTAAATATTACCCACATAATAAGCTGCTGAAGCATGTCAGCGAGATGAAGGAGCTCCCTATTGTCTAAATCCCAACCAAACACTCCATCCTGTGATGGACCATAATACTGCACCACGCTGTGGTCTTCCTCCAGAAGCCTGTATCTCTGGCCTGCGTCTCTCCCATCTCTGTGTTCTATTGGTCCATGTCCCTCCCGTGTTTGCATCTCATTGGCTGTTTTTCAGATTTTTCTTCCATCCTCAGGTGACTGTTGGCCAGATGTACTCAACCCAGAAGTCTGTTGTGGAGAAGGTGGTGCAGGAGCCCATCTGAGTCAAAAGCTTAAGCCCCCCTCCATCCTTCCCTGTCAGGGCACAGGTGGGGGTGGTACATCAGTGTAAAAGAGAGCTGTAAAATTGTATGGTCTCACTCTGAAATTCTTCACTGTTAGCCTGAGTTTTTCCTGCAAGATTACTGTATTCTACTATATTTTATATATTTTTTTGCAATTTGAAAAGCTGCTGAAATTAAAGTATGCACTTCGAATACATTCTTGTGTGATTGGGTTTATGTATAAAATTGCATTAAGCTGTTTAAGCATGAGGACTATGGGACTGAATCACAGTGACTTCGTGGAACTGGCATATTCCCAATGCTGTCCGGAACAGAAGTGGCGTGCCAGTGTAGCGCATACACAGCTCCGTGGTGTGTTAGAGGGAGGGTGTATCTCGGAGCTCAGGATGTGAGGAGGGGAGGACGTTGGTACAGAGTCATAAACTCATTTTATTCACAACATAACATATAAAACATATCAAATGTGAGACATTTCATGAATATTTCATGAAAAATATTGACTCATTTTGAATTTCATGACAAACACATCTCAAAAAAGTTGGAACGGGGGCAATAGGAGGCTGGAAAAGTTAGTGGTACAAAAACCCAACAGCTGGAGGAACAATTTGCAAATAATTAGGTCAATTGGCAACAGGTCAGTAACATGATTGGGTATAAAAAGGGCATCTTAGAGTTGCGGTGTCTCTCAGAAGTAAAGATGGGCAGAGGATCACCAATCCCCCTAATACTTCGTCGACAAATAGTGAAGCAATTTCAGGAAAAAAAAGGCCAAAAAACCATAGTGGATGCCCGTGATCATTGGGGCCTCAGGCAGCACTGCCTCACAAATAGGCATGATTCTGCAATGGAAATCACTAAATGGGTATTTCTAAAAAAACATTGTCAGTGAACACAATTCGCCATGCCATCCGAAGATGCCACTTAAAACTATCATTCAAAGAAGAAGCCGTATTTGAACATGATCCAGAATCACCAATGTCTTCTCTGGGCCAAAGCTCATTTAAAATGGATTGTGGCTAAGTGAAAAGTTCTGTGGTCAGATGAATCTAAATTTGAAATTCTTTTTGTAAACCAGGGATGCCATATTATCCGGACTAAAGAGGAGAATGACCAACCCAGCATGTTATTTGCGCTCAGATCAAAAGCCAGCATCTCTGATGGTATGGGGGTGCATTAGTACATAGGGCATGGGCAGCTTGCATATCTGGAAAGGCACCATCAATGCTGAAAGGTATATCCAGGTTGTAGAGCAACATATACTCCCATCCAGATGACATCTCTTTCAGGGAAGACCTTGCATTTTCCAACATGACGATGCCAAACCACACACTGCATCAATTACAACATAATGAATTCGTAGAAGAAGGGTCCAGGTTCTGACCTGGCCTGCCAGCAGTCCAGATCTTTCACCCATTGAGAACATTTGGCGCATCACAAAATGAAAATTATGACACAGAAGACCTAGGACAATTGAACAACTAGAATCCTGTGATGCCACACAGTGGTAAACATTACCTTGTCCCAACTTTTTTGAAACATGTTGCTGCCGTGACATTCTAAATTAATTGCCTTAGATTTTCCTTAAAATGGTACATTTTCTCAGTTTAACCTCCTGAGACCCTACGTCCTCATATAAGGACATCATTTTTAGTTTAAAACTATTAATTGTTCAAAAAAATAATGTTTGGTTTTTATGATTATGAGGTCCAACTAATCCCAAATAGCTAAAGGAAATAAAATATGCCCATCAAACAAAAGCCCGGGACTCAAGAGGTTAAACATATGTTTTCTATATTTTGTTATGAATAAAATATGGGTTTATGAAATTTCCATATCATTGCATTCTGTTTTTATTTAGAACTTTTTTGGTATTGGGGTTGTAATAAAATACAGTAAAACCTCATAATTCGTTCCGGAAACGTGCTCGTAATCCAAAGCCACTCGTATATCAAAGTGAATTTTTCCATTAGAAATAATGGAAACTCGGATGATTCCCAAAAATATTCATATAAAAATGATTAATACAAAATATAAAGTAAAAATAGCTAGGTGTCCTAAGCTTTTATGCCCATTCCTCTGTTCATCTTATTTGATTACTTGAAGATTGTCGTCAGCATGTAGATCCACTTTGTACTTAACAGGATGCAAATTATTGTTTAACGACATAAAATTGTGCTGGATTAATATAGGATCTCTGCTAACAACAGCATGTTCCAAGTCAGGAAAATTAGGTTTCTGTTTAGTTAGCAGTGCCCTTGCTGGGATGAAATCCAATGTCAGTACAAAAAGGCTTTATTGGGGATGTCTTTTCAAGGCTTGCTAGGAATTTTGCCTTAACTGAGCAGCACATATACACAAATATGGAAGTCATACGATTTTGGGCAAACTGAATCAAGTTTAATGCAAATTATTTTTTTGGTCAAATATGTTTACCCATGACTGACTCTTCAAAATGCAGAGTAATTTTTTTGATCAGAAAATAAGTAAAATAATCCACTTATCCGAATATAAATATTGATCTTAACTATTAATCTTTTTCTTAAAGCTGATGGTTTTTCAGGTTTAGGATATATATGTATATATATCCTGGAGTCCTGGAGTCTTCACTGGGAGCAGCCCCTCCCCTCCCTGTAAAAAAAACAGGTAAATTTCCATGCTCGAGGAAATGGGAACCTTTACAGCTCAGAGAAAATGGTCACGTTTTTTTCCTGGTGGAGGGATGGTCTACACACACATTCACACCTAGGGATAATTTGGTGACTTCACTTTGGCATGTTTTTGGACATCGAACCTGGAGGAAACTCCACACACTCGAACCTTGGACTCAGAGATTTGTGGCAACTAGGGGTGTAACGGTTCACAAAAATCACGGTTCGGTTCAATACGACACCGTGGTGTCACGGTTCGGTATGTTTTCGATACAGCAAAAATAAAAAAAAATGCCAGATAATTTCTTTGATTTTTTTCACTTTTTTATTTATTAAAACATCAAAAAAGTATGATGTTGTTTTTTTCTTTTACTTTAAACAATGATGAAGCTATTCTTCACCCATCTTCTGAGGTTTCTTTTTAGCAGCAAATAAAACAAAACCTCCTTTATAACCAAAACCAAAAAGCTCCTGATAAAAAAAATTAATTTAATTTTGTAGTAGTTATAAACTAATAGAAAGAAAAGAACACTTTTGTTTTTATATGGAACTCAGTTTCAATCAATTTTTAAGTTCTTTTTTCCAGAAAGATGAGTGTGTCCACATTTTATCCACCACTCTCTTGCCATCACCCTCATAACTTACAGGGAAACCAAAGTGCTCCCAAACTCCAGACCTGTTGGTTATAGGAGGATCCTCTATTTCTGGTCTGATACTTGCATTAACGTTACTAGCCATTTTGCAACGAGCTAGTGCAGCAAATGCCTGACTGACTGGAGTAGTGTTTGGAGGTGGGCGGGGCAGTCAGCACGTTGCCTGTCACGTCGTTTGGGCTGCCTTGTTGAGCGTAGTAGCACTGAAAACATTATATTTTACACACTTTATTCTCTTTTATTTTTTTCAAATATAACCCTCTGGAGTCTATGGGTAGGGAACACACTTTCACTGATTGGGGCATGATCACACATTTCATTCAATATCATAAAATTAATTCATGGCAAATAAATTATTTCTTATATATTTGTTTTGGCATTAAACTCATCCTTATCTTAGTGTACTTTGTAAATATGTCAGATTTGTGTTAAGTTTATAATTTGACATCAAAGTATAGACATTGCAAAATGCAGCTTGGAATAATTGCAGACACATAATAAAAGTACATAGTAAGCAATGCTGGCAGTTTGTTTTGATCCAAGATATCTGATCAACAAAGTCTTGGCTAAATGAAGATGACTAAATGGTGTAGTTGCAACATTCAGTTGGATAAATAAATAAGAAAAACCGAACTCATGTCACTATTTCTGGCTCCTTTCATTGAATATGTAGCAACTTTCACGTGTATGAATGAGCCATTGTCACCTGGCCACGTCCCTCCCCCCCTTATACAGTATGGCTCTGACTGGAACGTTTCTGGATCGCGTTTCACCGTTGCGCTGTTAATAAAATTACGCGTATCGTTACACCTCTAGTGGCAACCCTGCCTCCCTCACCTTATTCAATGAATTTATTAATCGGTATTAGTATTTAGTGCAATTACAATGTGCTATTAATTTGTACGAATCTCCAAAATCTCCAATACATGGATTTTACACAAAGTTCATACTTCATTCCCACTGTTTATTGACATCATAACTCTTCCCGATAAAATCGTTCATGAAATAGATTGTAATAAAAGTGCAAGGTCATACTACATCTACCACACTGTGCATAGACAACTAGTACTGTCAATATTTATCTTAATATTGTATTATAATACAGAGACATTTGTTCGACCTAATTAATTGTAAAGTCTATTAAATTAAAATCGGATACTCTGTTAATTTCATCCTATAATATTTAGGCTACAAGGTGTCGGTACAGAACAATGTCAAAGCAATAATTTCCACTCGGGTGGAAAACGTGACTTAGTGAGTGATCACACCTCTCCAAGGCTGGGCTAATGCAGATCCTTTAAGTCCTGGCAATTACTGGAATGAAAGAGTTGCGGTTAGACTGCGCTGGATTCCGTATCGCCCCTGTTTACTTTGCGCTGATGCACCAGGCTGTAATTGCGGCCCTCGTTGTTATCCCAGAAGTCGGCCTGGTCAGTCCTGCAGTAGACTGCGAAGTGCACTGAGGATCCGACATCCAGAAGCGGGGGTGCGTGCACGGTAAACCCATAGCGCTCCCCAGTTTCGGCGTCCCCATGTCCCGCTGCGAGGGTCGCCTGCACGTCCAAAAAAGAGCGCCAGTCGGTGAAAGTGTACCTCACACCCACCTCTTTTCTGCAGCAGTCCGAGGTCAGGGCTCTGATTGACCCTCGGATGTCAAAATTATAGACGGTGACTTTTTCTAGAGCCACCCGACAGCGCTGGAGCAGTGCGTCAAAGCGCTCCGTCTCTACAGGCATCTTAAAGTATGGTACAAAACGCTCACTGCCCAGCTCGGAATTGAGCGTGTGGCACAGATCATCCAGACTTGCCCGTTCGTGTTGTGCAGGATGACTCGGACCCAGGTACTCCTCGGTAAGGCTGAAGTGCTTCACAATCGCCAAGTTTAATCCAAACGCGTCCGCGAACTGAACCCTCTTCTTGCAGCCCTCGGGGGAAAGGGGCAAAGACTTCGTCCTCCTCTTGTCATTCTTATCTTCGTCCTCTTGCTCCAGGACCAAGTGTGAGAAAACTTCCTCCAGTTGCGCGTCCAGTTTAGGAAGCATGTCCCCAGCCCCCTTCAGCTTACTCCTCTCCAAATTTCTGCATTCCTGCATGGTATCCGCCGCCAAGCATCAACATTAACTTTTGTACTGCGTCACGGTAGCGCAGCAAATAATGAGGAAATACACTGTTTAGCCTTGTGACCGGGAGCCTATCGCTCTTGGGACTGGTCCGGTCTCTTCAGTCGCCTTGCTTAACAAAAGTATTTACATTTATGTTTTAGTCTTAGCATTATACATGCAGAGGAAACTCGAAATGGCAAGGACTGTGCATGGTTTCGTTTAAATAATTTAAATTGTAATCTGACTCTCTTTTCATGTTATATATGGAAATATTTGAAAATCCTAAAACGGTGTCTTAAATTTGCTGTTGTAACAGGTTGACCATATGCAAAGATTTAAAATGTGTGTGTGTGTGTGTGTGTGTGTGTGTATATGTATATATATGTACACACATATATGTGTGTGTGTGTGTTTTTTTTTAAGGACTGTCTGGAAGGTCCGTTTCGATAAGTTGGTAATTAAGACTAACTCCACGCCGAGAAGACAAATGCAGCTGGACCAATAAGAACAGGCATATGTTTACTTTGTTATGGATATGTTATTACCTCACCACGTCCACATCTTTCATTGTGGGAAGAATCTCTAAATAGGAATTACTATATGATTAAATACCTCTGTAAAATTAACCAGTTAAATTTCTAATAATATTTTTAATTTTATTAAATTTAATACTGAGAAAACCAGTGTTACTACTTTTTGCATTCCGTAACTCAACATAAGCATAACAAAATGAAAAAACTGAAAACATTCATTATAAACATATTGACAACGAAATTTGTGTTTCGTTTCAAGATGATAAATCAGTTTCACTAGCTGAAGAAACTGTGTCTTATTGGGAGAAGCTATGTATAAGTACCATCTTAATATATTTCCTATTTTACTTATGTTTTACGACTATGATTAAATGACGCCACTTCCGTTATAGCGGGATATGGCGTAATGGGCGGGACTTCGTAGATGGCTGCGATTGGTCGTTATCTAGACGAACAGACTGAAAGTAAACATTTTCACATGAGGTATTACGTAGAGCGGTCGAGTAAAATATTGCTCCAAATTACCAGTTTTTACTTTGTTACAATAGCATCGTAAGTGGCAATGCATCCTGAATTACAGCAGTCCCCGAGAAATATATTGGTATTTGAGAAATCCAATTTTATGAATGAAAAATCCAGACACGACTTACACGTGCTCAAGCACTATTTCAACTACAAGGTGAGTGCCAGTGAAACACTTTAGACTTCTCTTTACTGTCGGAAATTAAGTGATAAGTAATCCTACAAAATTTAAGAGCAACGATCTTAGTTAACCGTGGGTCGTTTAGTATATTTTCAGGTACTTATCGCGACCATACACGTCGTAAGAGCAATTACGGATTTTTTTGTCAGATTTTAACATCACCGATTTCTACAGGTATCTGTTTTCATACCCGAGTGCGGAATCCTTCCCTCGGAACTGAACGACGCCATCAGCCGTTTCACAAAATATTATCTGGTTAAGGATTTACCTGTGCATGAGTTGTTGGAAGAAGAATGTTTAGAGAAAACTGTAAAGAAAGGTAAAAGGACATTAAAAATGTAATTTTTTCTCACGAGGTTTGTTTACGACAAGACACCTGTACAGATAGTGATCGATATTCTCGGTGGTTTAACTTGCACTCTGCTGTTTGATGTAGGTCGTTTCTACGCCCTGTCGTACAACAGGAGAATCGACCAAGATGATGTTGTTGCCATCCTCCCAACTGGTATGAGAAATTATCTCCCGGGCCCAGTTGTTCAAAAGTAATCCAATGGGATTTCAGATAACGGATTGGATTGAATCTTAAAAACGGGTTGTTCAAAGGGAAAAGAGGGATTCTGAAATCAGATCAGATCACCTAATTCAATCTCGGTTTTAATCTGGATCAAACCTTCACTTTGTGTTGTTCAAAAGTTTGAGTTTGAATTGGGATACATTTGATCCAAAAAATCAGGATAATCCTGATCCCAATTCAAGGGTGAATTTCTGGCACAAAACTTGAAAATTGATCACAAAAGCAATGTTTGATGATTTATTTATATTTTGTACAATTGTTGAACTAGGACAGTGGCGGTGAAAATAAAGTAGAAAATAAGACATGAAGCCTTTCGGTATAGTCAAGGGAAGAAAAATCCCTGTGAGATATCTGTACTCAAACAAAATCTCAAAGCTCAAAACAAAAAGCTCTATTGTCCATTGTATTTTAATAAAAATGACAATAATTACTATTATTCAATTCACCAGTCAGAAATAATGTCTTACAATTGCATCCCTGACCACATGTCCCTCATTTTGAGACAGCATTGGTTGTTTCTCTGGTTTACTGTGGTGTTTTCTGTTTGTTCAAATTAAAACGCATAATGGCTATTTGTGGCCACTGTTGTTCTTGACATAGACAGTAGGCTACACTGTTGGTTCCATTTAATGCACTAGTAAACTGAATTTGGTAATCCTGAAAATTCTGTTTGGATAACAGTGATCCAATCCAGTGTTGCTTTGAAAAACCAGCATAAAAGTAAAATGGATTACCAAATCCTGGATCGCAAAACAAGGGATTTAAAAATCCACATTACTTTGATCTAGATAAAAATTTTTGAACAACTGGGCCCTGCTGCACCATTTTGAACGTGTACATTACCAGTCAAATGCTTTTGCACACCATAGGTTTTAAACATTTTTCCAATTATTTCATAAGCCGCTTTTTTATTCTTCTTAAGCATTGGAAAGTTGAATGAACAACAATAAATGAAAATATAAGTAAAATAAAACAAGTAACACTTATGACATGGAAAGAGTAACAGTGTGACATACTATTAAGTGGTTGTGTGGTGATGGCATAGTCAGATTCTAGGCAGTCCTTCAACTTTAAATGCACTAGTTAACTAGTCTCATCCCATGAAACGGCAGTATTTAATGTCCCTTGTAAAAAGAATTTTTTGGTTTTTCTCTGCTGTTTTAAATGATAGAGGAAGTTATTTTGGTGAATCAAAGAAATGATATTTTTTTTGCTAATAAAGGCACTCAAACAGTGAACATACTGCACATTTATTTGTTAGCAAATAATATTGAGTATATTGTTAGTAAATGTTAAGTGAGTAACATGCAAATGTAGAAAATCTAAGTGCATGCAAAAACTTTTGACTGGTAGTGCATATGTGCATTTTAATGCATACAGCTCTTACAGCATGCTTGCATCTGAATTTTCTCAGGCCAGATGATTCTGTCTGTGAATAAAGACACGTATGAACAACTGGGTTTGGAGGGAAAGGAGTCACAGTACACCCACAAACAGCCCATGAGATATGGTGAGTTCCTGATGGGTACGCTTGATACATCACTATACAAAAGAATTGTGGTGTTTTGTATAGCTGATTTATTCTTATTCCTCTGAATTTCTTTATTTGTAGTGGTGACTGTAGACCTCACAGACAAATCTATGCTTCCGGGTTCGAAACGGTACAACCGAGTGTTGTGGGCACTTAAAGAAAAAGTGCCAGTTAAAATGGACTTCTTGCTGGCCAGACACAGCACTGGTAAGTAGGCTGTTTGTTGTCAAGAGGATGCAGGTTTAGCCACAGCTGTCCTGGTATTTTATACAGACACCCTCATATCACAAAATTCTCAGCGGCAGGATTTTGCCACATCCTGATTGGCTGTTACTTTGTGTGTTTTTAGAGGCCAATGAGGGTGGTATGCTGCCTTCCTGCCTCTCCCAGTACCACTGCAGGGAGCTCCAGGCATCCATTAGCACCCAGAAGCTGAGCAGCCTGCCCTATCCTGTCCTGTGTAGCTGTGACATTCGGGGGGAGGGCTACTGTGAGCCGCACCAGTTCCTGGAGTGGCTGGGGGCCGTCACCATGGAAATCGACTGGTGAGTCAGGTCATGCCTCACTGTGTGTAACCCAGTTTCAGTCGCTGCTGTCGCTACATAGTTATTTAAAAAATTTTAAATAAATGACTATTGAATATTGACAGTTCCATCTATAGGGAAGTCACCCCTTCTGACCTTGAGCACAACACACCATTTTTTTTTAAGATAGTCAACATTATCTGCTTGTGTATTTGCTATATATGGGGGGCAGGGGCACCGTAAGAGGGGGGGGGGGTTAGGATGATAATAGAGGCCCTAAAAAATTAGAAAAATTTCTGGATTGGTCTAGACTGGGTGGTTGGTCTTAATGTTTTGGTAATAATAATAATAAAACATATATATATTTATGTTCAATAATATATATATATATGTATATTTGTTCAATAATATATATATGTTATGTTCAATAATAATATATAATGATATAGTAATTATAGTAATAATAATATTTCTGGAAGAAAGATCATTAATTTTTTTAGTATTATGTATTTATTGTATTATATAAACCATGAAAACTGTCCACGTATATCAGTGAGGTCCAGTCCAAAAGGGCAAAATTTATATGACAACTCTATAGCAAACAACAAGCTGGTGTCTGGAAAAATCAGACCCTCCAAACCACTGACAGTCATTGGGAAACTGAATGCTTGCAGCAACAATGATGCAACCAGCTTCATGTCAACATACTCATGTCCAGAACAACACAACACCTTAAGCCAGGCCTTGCTGTGCTCCATCACTGGCCTCTTGCTGCCCGAGGACATACAGTCGCTGCTGGAGAAGCTGCGGTAAGCTGAGAAGCCGTCGTCACACAGCCGCCATTTAGCCCCGCCCAGGTTTAGCCACGCCCACTGACACTATATGCGACTGTTGCTGTGTTCTCACTATCAGGAGTTACTTTGAGCAGCCCAAGCTCACATCCTGGCTGTCGTTGGTGGTGCATGGCTTTGCCGACAGCCCCGTGTCCTGGGGGATGGAGGAGCATGGCTTCCACAAGGGCGGTGAGAATTTCTACGGTTTTGTGGTCTTCGGGAACCAGGACTACTGGCTGCACATGGGCACCGGGGCGAACGACGGTTGCCCTCCGTGACACGTCTCATTGGTCTGTCAAGTTCTGCACGATTAAGAGAGCAGTCAGGTGAGCAGAGGGCCTGGAAGACACTTGAAGACTTGAAGACACTTGACTTCTCCCAGGTTATCTGAGCTGTACTCAGAAGAATGTTACAGAAAAATCCAGTTCAGGTACTGTAATGTAGTGTTTCCCAACCTGGTCCTCGGGAACCCCCAGATGGGAGCTGGGAGAAAGCAAAAACATGGACTGTCTGGGGGTCCCCAAGGACTGTGTTGGGAAACACTGGTGTAATGGACCAGAGATGGCGTTCCTGTACGGACATAAAAACAGTGTATATTTACCTCCTCTAGAGGTCTGAAGCTGTACTGAGAGGAAACGCTTTCGTTTCGGCCCTTATTATGACAGTTTCTACCATTTAATACAGATTGTGTAATAATCTAAACTAGTGTAAAAGCATCTGTGCTGTAACATTGTTTCTAAATGTACTGCGAGTGGAAGGACTGGTATGACAACCTGGTCTTTTTCCAGTTGCAGGTTTTTGTGTTGCACAGTGAATGGTTTCAATAAATTAACAAAGAGAATCCGTCATGATGTAGGAAATGTTTATTTGAACTGGTTTGCGTTTCACAGCTGAATATTTCATATTAATCTGTAATATCTTCGCAGATTGTACAGTATATTTGTAGTTCATTAGAAACAGGTCCCCAAGAAAACTGCACCAGGAGGCGAGGCTGAAGGCAGATACACTGTAACTGCCCAGCCTGTAGGGTGGGCTATTTAAAGGGGAATTCCCAGCATAGGTGACAGTACAAAAATAGATTGGATATGAACAAAACCTCAGCATATCATCAGGAGTAATTTAAAGGTAAACAGGTTTATTCTCTAGCAAGAGCATAGGCTTGGTTTCAACATCGGTAGGGACCAAATCATCCCTGAACCCCCCACCACCCTACAAACATACTCACACATACAGACACGTTATTACCACAATATTGGTAGGGACATCTCTCTACCGTACATACTAAAATCTACGCCCTTGTTTTCTACAATCCCATCCCTGTCACCACAAAACATGTACTGAATTTTCACACAGCACTTGGAGTACGAATGCTGTTAATTCACAAGTATCTTGGCTGGATTGGGAGATAATGGAGATTCCACATCCATCTTGAACAGCACAGATCTTGCCACACACTTACCAGCACCAACTTCCATCCATTTCCTGAAACCACTTGTCCTACTCAGGGTCGCATGGGATCCGGAGCCTATACTGAAGGCTATGGGTGCAAGGCAGGGAACAACCCAGTATGGTGTGTCAACCCATCACAGGGCACACATGGGCAATTTGGTAACTGCAATTAGCTTCAGCATTCAACAAGGGGAAACCAGAGTAGCTGGAGTAAACCCCACGACAACACGGGGAGAGCATGCAAACTCCACACACACAACCCTAGTGGAGACTCTGGTCCCAGAGGTGTGTGGCGAAAGTGCCAAACACAGCATCACTATGCTGGCTGCAGTGTCAATTTGATTCTCTATTTAAAGCTTTTGTAACAGAGAGAGGTATAGATTCACTCCCGGATGCTCTATGTCCCAAGGTTCAGCGGCTGTACTGAACACCTCTCCATCACATGTGAGTTAAACCAGAGGTATTCAAACTGCAGTGTGCACTTCCTTGGTGGGGCATGAAGGAGTTTGTTGGGGGATGATGGGTAATAAAACAGGGAACTGTGCGGGGGGGGGTTAAGTGGCAATGTTAAGAAATATAAAAAAAATAGAGATACTTAGAGTGTCCAAAATTTCACCGACTTTGATAAGTTGTGCACAGGAAAACAGGCACATCCTTCTTATTTAGCTGCAAGGTACACTTTTATTTGGGGTCAGTGTGTGTCTCTGTGTGGAGAGTAGATCTGGAGCAATATATCAGCCCTGGGGGGGGGGGGTTGTTAAAAAAAAAGTTTGAAACTAATATTGCCAGGTGGAGTCCTGCACAATGAAGTGGGAGGTCTTCTGGACATCCAGAGGC